TCTCAAAACATCTCAGTAAACTTTCTGAAAGAGATCTCAAAAACAACTTTCTGTGAAACTTTCTGAAAGAGATCTCATTAAACAACTTTCTGTAAAGCTTTCTGAAAGAGATCTCATTACACAACTTTCCGTACTATTCTTTATGGCTAATTTTACTCTGTGGGCCCGTGATATGTACTCAAAGGCGCCAATCCGATAGCTCAGGGGAGCGACCCACTAAACATATCGGAGTCTCTGAAACTGATAACTCTGTAACTCTGTAACTCTGTGGGAACTTGTTCCCGAGTACATATCACTTAATCTTTCACTTTAAATATTAGTTCTTTTTTTTATGGTGACGTTTGGATAAAACACCATTAACATCTTGAAATAAAAGTACTGACATAATCTTGACTATGCCAGATAATAAACATAATTTGACACGACAAATAATAAAATAACTCATCAAATAATTCACCAAGTTAACATAATAACAAATAGACTAAAATCATCCATTAGAAATCAACCAGACTTCTTCCTTTTATTTGGTTGAACAAACATGTACAGGTGGTAGTGAACTTACCTGATAGAAGCAGAATTCGAACTACTCAAAGAAGTGTGGCAGCTTGATAACGTCTTCCGTTAAGCTCTTCACTTAAATCTTTATTTAGAATAGTCAAAATTTAGAAGTCTTGTCTTAATGAGCCAAACAGCTAAAAACTTTAAATCTCAATTCCTACTGTTAAAATCACAAACGTGATCTCCCACTTAACTTTAAAACAAAACTTCAGATTTTCGAAAACCATGGAACAAGATAATTTGCTGCCCATCAATTTAAAACACAATTTAAAATCAATGGAGTAATCAACATTGGTAAAAAGAATTTGCTGTGTCATAAATGAAAGTTTAAAGAATGGAAAAGGTGCAAATAGGTCCATGTACTAACAAAAAAAGGTCAAATAAGCCCTTATTTAGGAAGTTCTGTCCGGCCGTCGTCATTTGGGGTGGTTCCCGGTGGATTTTTTTGATGAACTTTTTTGAGCATCTTATTCATCAAGTCTAGTTTGCTCATACCAAATTTCAGCTAAAACTTCAATCGGGAAGGCATTCAAATGAATTCTTGAAGATAACTGCGCAGTTATTTTCAAGAATTCATTTGAATGCCTTCCCGATTGAAGTTTTAGCTGAAATTTGGTATGAATAAACTAGACTTAATGAATAAGATGCTCAATTTTTTTTATCAAAATAAGGGCCTAAATAAGGGCTTATTTGACCTTTTTTGGTTAGTACATGGGCCTATTTGCACCTTTTCCCTTTAAAGAAAGAAAAGAATCCTACGGCTGAGTACTAACTAGCTACTGCGTACAGTCTAAGTAACGAAAGTAATTATCAAAATCTCATTTAAGCAGATTTAAAAGTTCTGAGTTTGGAGTAAACAATACATACAATCCTGGTGCATCAATAAAACTCATCCAACTAGAAGAATTATATAACTGCTAGCCGCCCTTAAAGTCGATTAAAAGAAGCAGTAGCAGCAGCCAATTTGATCAGTGATTAAATCCCACGTTTATTAAAAGCTATATAGTGTAGGAAGACAAATAAAAATTATGTTCACTTCCCTTTTTGTAAAAAAACAAGTTACTGTTGCGATGAATATGGAGGATAGTTTAGATGAAATCCTTAAACATGGAAGAGATTTCAATACAGAGAAGGAAGAAGAAATCTTCGATAGAAATTGAATTGACGAATCAATTATGACGAGCAAAAAGGAAGCATGGAAGCAAGGTAAATTCAACATACCAATTTCAGTTGTCACAAAACTCGGATTATAGCTTTAGTTGAAGAGTTGAATCAAAGAAGATGAGAATTTCGTCTGGGATGGATTAGAGAGTACGGCGGCCAAGACTAAGAAGGGCGTAACTTCTCTAGGGATTTAGTATAAAATAGATTTATTTGGACTAAAATAACTGATTTGAATCTCTAAGTCCACTAAGAATACTTGTGACCCAACTGAAAATAATATATTTTCTCCCTTTCAGAATAAACTCATTAAACTTTAGAACATTATTTACTTATTCAATTCATTTATGATTTCTGGAACTTACCTGTCAACGTTACCTGCCATAACAATACATGATAAAGCAATCACATTATTAACAAAATAACTTATTTAACTAACTAAATAAATAAAATGATTAATATAACTAGCTCGTTAAAATCGGGGTGTGTTACATATTAACTCTTTTTAGTAGTCCGGGTTTGAAACTGAATCCTGTTTGTCCCTTCACCCCCTGCAATATACTACTCCGTATAAGAGCATCTCCAATGGTAAAATGTGCACGGTGCACACGTGGCATAAGAAATAGCCACATAAATATTAATAAATAAATTCTTTCTCTCCTTATTTGAATGATTTTATACAGTTTTGGTAAGTTTTTTTCTACAATGTCAAGGAGACCGTCTAGATGTTGACATTGCAGGGAAAAACTTACCAAAATTGTATGAAATCATTCAAATAAGGAGAGAGATAATTTATTTGATAATATTTATGTGGCCATCACTCATGCCACATGTGCACCGTGCACATTATAGCATTGGAGATGCTCTAACTGTTGGAGGGTGGGATTGGGGATGGTGTGGAAGTGACATACTGACATCATCTTACTTTCTTTTATTCCCAGAAACATTTTTTTTTGAGCCATTTCATATTGAAACCATGCGTGAGTGAAAAAAGTAAGCACCCATTGATTTAGTTGCAGCAGAAAACTTGATGTCACTTCAACTAGGCATGACATTGAGTCGGGGCGGGACGGGTACTGCAAGACCCGGACCCGCCCTGTGACTTTGCAAGGCGGGTCCGCCCCGCTCCGCCCCGCCCCGCTCCGCCCCGTCGTAACCTAATTTGCTAGTATGTATTTTTATTTGTAGGAAGTTGTTACCCATTGAATCTACATAAAGTTTATATCTAAATAATAATTAAAAATTAATATATTAAATCAAATTCATGATACGCTAAAAATTTCAAAAATTAAGGAAAAATTACTCAGACTTGAATAGTTAATCTATTTAATTATATTAATAATTGAATATATGTATTAAAATGCTATATATAAAGAAGACATTGATAATCCGTTCATCTCATTCTAATATATTAATATATTATAAGATCAAAAAAATTATGATTTATTGTATACACAAATATGTATACTGAAGTATATTTGTAGTATAATTTAAGAAAAAGTATGTATACTTATATATTGAGCGGGTTGGGGCGGGTCGGGACGGCATGAGTCAATACTAATACCCGGACCCGCCCCATTATATAGGCAGAGCGGGGTGGACCCCCCCCATTTGCAAGACGGTGCGGGCCGGATCCGCCCCAAATATCTTGGGCCAGGGCGGGTCATTGCGTGTCGGGTTTTTTGACATCCCTAACTACAACCCGTGGGCAGTGGAGTTACCGTGCAAAAGAACCAACTTAACACGACCTCTCTTTCTTTGCTACGTTATTATTACTAATATAAATATGGCCATTATGGTTATCTTTACCTACTCTGTATAGGCGTATATCTCTTACCATTACTTGTGAGAAAATTTTAAAAAGAAAATCAAACTTATGAGAAAGAGTATCATTAGCGTGGAGGCTACTTTTATTTCAAAAATCTTGATATTTGATTACGTGAACATGTTTATGTTTCGAAAATTCTTCCGTTGGTAAACAACATATTAGTATTCACGAATCATGATAATATATTTATGATATTTCATAGAAAGAAGAATTGATTAAAAGTACAATATAAAAATCCCAAGAACGTAACATAACAAAATTAGAGAACGCAATGACCAAATTTGCTCACAGATTTCATTGTAATTAGGTAGTTCCTGACTTGGGTATCTATTTAATTGCATCAACCATTCAAAATTAAATACGTAAAGCCGGTAAAGGTGAAAATGAGACATTTCGAAATAACTTGTTTATGTATCACAAATTTATTTGGTGGTGCAATATTTATTACGCAATTGTCGATGTGAGCTACATAAGAATTTCTTCATCTCTTTTGCATTTCTATTAAAAACGAGACATGGTTCGTATGACAAAACATGCACGTTACTATTCCGTTTAGATTAAGGTCCAGTGAGATTGAAGATTTTTCCTAAAATATTACTAATAAATATAATAACTCACTAAGTTTTAGTGACTATAATCGTGTTCAATGTTTACATCGTAGTGATTATGATGTAAACATTGAACACAATTATAATAATCACCAAAAGTTACAATGATGTAAACATTGAACACAATTATAATAATCACCAAAAGTTACTAACACGCATTTTTATCCACCAATTCTCGAAAAGTATTATTAATGAAAATTTTGAAAACTTAAACTTAAGTGAAGGGACCAGGGATCATCTAAAACACCTACATGTTTACCTCCAACATTGAGTGTAACGAATAGGAGCTGAATCGAGATCAACAATTCAATTCATCTGCTAATTTAAACAAGTCATCAATTCAAGTAGAGCTAATCACATTATAGTTAATCACATAATTATTTATCTAAGTTAACATAAGTTCCCCTGAATCCCAGCCTGTTAGATTAAATTATCGGCATCATATAATTATACATAATCATATACTGATAGATCTGAGATTTAGAAATACCTGGATCCATGATAGATGAATGAACTGAAATAAATCCATTATCCTCTCTGGCCTCTTTCCTTATGAGATTCTTGACAGGTAGAAATCTCTCGCCAATATTGTGTTGTTATTCCACAGGGAATAAACGTATATATAGAGGCAGAGGAGAGGGTTGGGGAACCCTAGTCCTAGACAGACTTAAACATAGATTCAGCCTATCATTAAACCAATTAAAGGTCTAGGACTATACGAACTCTATTAATAATATATAACCCCAAATACATGACCAATATTAGAATATTAATAATTAAATAAATATTCTAACATTCTCCCACTTGGTCATGTGATCCTTGATGAATTGATGAAAACTTAAATTGCGCAATATTCATCAAATCAAACTCATCAAAAAAAAACTTAACTGAATTTGAAATTGAATGGATCATGGCGGTTACACACCATTTATACTGACATGCTCCCTTCCATGTATCACAAGACAATTCTAATTCATCCGAAACATTTGAGAAATCTGAAAGTCTCAAATCTTAAATTTGAGGAATACTTAAATCCTCAACACTTGTTATCACTACAAATAATTATATGTGATCACAATCAAATAGATAACAAGTAAATCAAAAACATAACCTTTATTGAATTCAGATGAGTGTCTAAACAATGATATATATAAAAAATGAGCTAACATAAATCACTGACAAAATTATCATAGCAAGGCTTTATCAACAACACCCATATTAATTACATGATTATTAAAAATCTTGGGTGACAATCCTTTAGTCCGTGGATCCGCAACCATTTGTTCAGTGCCAATATGCTCAATAAACACTCTATGTTTCTGAACCTCTTCCTTTACTGGCAAGTACTTCAAATCAATGTGCTTAACACCTTTAATGTACCTATCATTCTTCGTGAAGAAGACTGGTGCGGAATTATCACAATAAATTTTCAGCGGCTTAGCTATACTGTCGACAATTCTAAGTCCTGAAACAAAGTTCCGCAGCCACAAACCATGAACAGTGGCCTCAAAGCATGCCACAAATTCAGCCTCCATAGTGGAAGTAGCAATAACTGTTTGTTTACCGCTCTTCCAAGATACTGCTCCTTCAGCCAATATGAACAGATAATCAGATGTTGACTTTCTACTATCGACACATCCAGCAAAGTCTGAATCTGAATATCCAATCACCTCAAGCAGATCGGATCTTCTAAATGTAAGCATGTGATCTTTGGTGCCTTGCAAGTACCTCAAAACTTTCTTTGCAGCTTTCTAGTGGTCTATTCCGGGATTACTTTGATATCGTCCCAGCATTCCAACAGCAAAACTAATATCGGGACGAGTACAAGTCTGAACATATCCCAAACATCCAACCACTGACGCATAGGGAATTCTTTCCATCTCCTTACGTTCCAATTCATTTTTAGGACATTGTAATAAACTGAACTTGTCCTCCTTCTGAATTGGAACCACACCTGGAGAGCATTTGTCCATATTAAATCTTTTTAAGATCTGATTGATGTAGCTTTTCTGAGACATACCCAAAATTCCTTGTGAATGGTTTCAAAATATTTCAATTCCAATCACATAGGATGCCTCGTCCATATCTTTCATCTCAAAGTTTTTAGAAATGAACTTCTTAACATCATGCATCATGGACATATCATTCGCAACAAGCAAGATATCATCAACATATAGGACTAAAATTACAAATCTGCTCCCACTGACCTTCATATAGATGCACCGATCAACAGCGTTCTCTATAGAACCATAAGAACAAATGGTATTATGAAACTTAAGATACCATTGTCGGGAAGCTTGTTTTAGTCCATATATTGACTTTTGTAGCTTACACACAAGATTTTCCTTACCACTGGTCAAAAATCCTTCTGGTTGATCCATATACACTTCTTCCTCTAAGTCTCTGTTCAGAAAGGCGGTTTTCACGTCCATTTGGTGAAGCTCCAAATCAAAATGAGCCACCAAAGCCATGACAACCCTTGTCACGCCCCAGACCGCAATCTAAGCGCGTGTACAACCGCCGTATAATCAAGTGACGTCACCCGCGAGTCAACCTCACTTAATCATACAAGGCGTTTGAGAAAACAATCCATCCATACTCAGTAGTAAACATACATAACAACTTCACATTTAAACAAATGAATAGCGGAAATATTCATCGGTAAGTCATAAGCCACAACCGGCCAACAACAAAGGCATGCAAGCCCCAAAATAGTTTTATAGTACATAAAATATCCATGAGCAAGTGCTCGGTAGTTTGAAAGAAAATAAGGAAACACGAACCACGTCTTCCTGAGCTGATATCACCCGTAAGAAGGTGCAAGTAGCAAGCCCTAGCTTCAACTTGAAAATGGTGGGGGCCCCGAAGGGGTCAGTACAAGTACCGAGCAAGTAGCAGGCTAGATATAGAATAACTAGCGTTTCAAGTATAAGACCCAAACATAGGGTGATACTTATATAAATAGTCTTTTCCCCCAAGTTAAGAAATACTTATTAGTAGGTATACACTTAGAAAATACCCGATCCGTGGATCGCTGTTTTGTTTGGGAAAATAGTAATAGTCAATATTCTTGACTAAAAACCTCAACCCACCCATATACCTATGAGTGTATAGGACTCCTCCTTGTCCATATTTCAATATCATAATCTATGAGTTTTGAGGATAACATAATCCTTGGGTACTCCACCAATTTATATTAGAGTGTTAACGACTTTTAGTCCTAGGGTCCTCCACCAATTTATAATCTGAGTGTTAAGGACTTTAAGTCCTAGGGTCCTCCACCAATTTATAATCCGAGTGTTAAGGACTTTAAGTCCTAGGGTCCTCCACCAATTTATATTATGAGTGTTAAGGACTTTAAGTCCTAGGGTCCTCCACCAATTTATAATCCGAGTGTTAAAGACTTTAAGTCCTAGGGTCCTCCACCAATTTATAATCCGAGTGTTAAAGACTTTAAGTCCTAGGGTCCTCCACCAATTTATATTATGAGTGTTAAGGACTTTAAGTCCTAGGGTCCTCCACCAATTTATATTATGAGTGTTAAGGACTTTAAGTCCTAGGGTCCTCCACCAATTTATATTATGAGTGTTAAGGACTTTAAGTCCTAGGGTCCTCCACCAATTTATAATATGAGTGTTAAGGACTTTAAGTCCTAGGGTCCTCCACCAAGTTTATAATCCTATGATTAACCTCCTATCAACCTAGACAGAGTCTATATCATATTTATTCATTCATAGCTAAATCAACCCATAAAACTTATGTATTTCAATCCATGCAAAGCCATGCACTTATTTAGATTTATAATTAACTAATACCAACCGGTATTGGTTAATCCCTTATCAATCGGTCAACGTTTTCGTTGACCGTTATTTCATGTCTTATACGTATCAACTTAATCATATATACGTATATTAAGTTAATAACTTTCATTTGTGCTTCTCTTACACTTCAAACAATATGCATTTCTATATAATTCCTCACATCATATTTCATGCATAAACAATTAATTCATTTCATACAACCTTAACCATGTTGGCCAATCACATGTTTAAATATCTTTTAAACATCATTATGAATATATAACATTTATTTAGGTAATCTCATAATTAACCCAAAAGTTACAAGATATTAAGCCGTCCACTCACCTCGAATTAGCGCTATGAAGTTCTACCCTCCTTGGTTGAACTCCGGCGACAACTCCGGCGACCCTTTCTACTTTGTGAAATCTCTTGAAATACCTAACAATTACTAATAAGGTTTTATAATCATAAAACCCATATTAATACAAATAACCTAGCTCAAAAAGGTTATTTTCCGGCAAACCGGTTATTTTGTCCTCTAAGTCCGTTCTTGGACTTAGAACCATCTTCCAACCCATTGTTCAACACTTATATCATGTAGAACAATCCTAAGGGTACTTCATATGATACATAAGTCATATGGAAAGATAAAAGATGAAGGAAAAGTTGTTATGGAGTTTCTCACCTTTACCTCAAGGTTTTTCCCAACTTTTGCAACTCTTTCTTCTTCCTTGAGCTCCTTGCTTGTTTGAGCTTTCTTGGCTATGGAGATGGAGGTTTTTCAGAGCTCTCTCTCTTTGGGGGCTGGGTCGAGGTTGGATGATGAGGGAAAATGGGGTGGGTTTCCTTTTTGGCATATTTGCCAAATGAGTGAGAAATGGGTCCCTTAGGTGTCAAGATGGTCTCCCCCATCCCTTCAACGGTTTTCAGCCACTTTTGCACTCAAGCAAGACTCCAAGAGCTGGAAATTTCGTGTGTTGGCCCCCACCTATGTGGGAGGTCATCCCTTTTTGTCCAGAAGTGTATAATCGGCCCCGAAAGTTGTATTTCTCGGACTGTTTTAATTATATTTTATTTTATCGGGTCAAATAAAATATATTACTCACTCTCAATCATAACGCCCCTTTGAAGTAATATCCATTCCAAAAATTTAATTTGGAAGTCTCTGAAATTCATTTGCGGGCTGTTATCTGTTAATTTACCAATACCGGTATTTGGGAATATTTGAGCAATAAACCGAACAAACCGAAATCGAACCGAAATAAACCGAACCGAAATACATATATGAATATTTGATCACATTAGAGATTTCTAATGGGCTTTTAAATTTTTCGATACTCATTTTGTAATTAAGTTATGTATGCTCATTTGATACTGATATTATATTCTTTTTAGAATGTCATATCAATGCATATTTCAAAATTATCATATTATATTATAATTTAAGAGATTATTACAAAAGAATAAAATAAAAACTAAGAACAAGAAAGTGAGTTACAATACTCAATTTTAGAGTTCAAATGCTCAATAGAGAAGGCTCCTTAATGAAAATGCCTTGTTGCTCAACTAGTTGATGTTATAATTTTTTTATATCAATACAAATTTCAAAAGTATAACATTAACTAAGAAAGAAGAGAGAGATAGAGATAAGTTATAGACATGACGAGGAAAAATATTTGAAAATGAATTAAAAGTAATATATAAAATGGTATACTTTATGGAACCCACATGGTGTAAGGGTGTGCAAGAGACCACTCTCACATGGAGATGCTCTTACTAGTTACTACCTCTGCCAACTATATATTCATGTCCATTGTTCCCTGATCAACGTAAATTATTGTTAATCTTTTACTTTATATATTCAACTTTTATCAAATTCATTTTTTTTGCAACTTTATACAACTTGTAATGTAGTTTCTGAATATATAAATTTTATTTACCCAAGATAGTTATAGCATTAACAGGGATCAATATTTTTTTACACTCTCCGTCACATATTGTAAGCTACACTTTTCTTTTTGAATTGTTTAAAAGATATGATCACTTTCCTATATTGGACTTCACTAGCTTTTTATTTTTCTTTTATATTGGACATCACTCTTTCTGTAACACCGTCCCCAAATATATTTATTTTTAAATGAATAATGTATTGAACCTTATGGAATGGTTAATGAGGTTATGAAGTTGTGATTTTTATTATTGTTTTGTGTGTATAGTAAATTCGCACGCGGGTCCCACACCGGGAGCGGGGGCCGCCCGATATTCCCGAGACCGTATATCTTATTCATCTTGGTCGATATAATATTTATATAGTGGTGGGTAATTTATTTGGTCCAAAGAAATGACATAATGTGGACCGATTGGTCAAAAGGGGCTCAATTACTGGTATTGGTAGTTTAACAGATAACAACCCGAAATTGGATTTCGGAGACCTATAAATTAAAGTTGGGGAATGTATATTCACTATAAGGGTCGTAATGATTGAGAACACGTAATATATTTTATTTGACCCAATAAAATAAAATATAACTAAAACAGTCCGAAAAATACAACTTTCGGGACCGATTGTACACTTCTGGACAAAAAGGGTTGACCTCCCACATGGGTGGGGGCCAACCCACGAATTTAGCCTATTTTTCAAGGCCTTGGTCGGCTGGTATGCTAGGGAGGCATGTGGGAGGAAGTGTGATTTGAGAGAATGAGAATCAAACAAAATGAGGTGGATCCCATCCACACTCATTTGCTCATTTAGACAAAAGAACACCCCCTCACCCCTCTCCTTCATTTTCCTGCGGCCAACCTTCACCCACCAAGAGCAAAGAAACTCTCCACCTTCCCTCTCCATTGTTGAAGAAAGCTCCAACAAGAAGGAAGCTCTAGGAAAAAGTTTAAGTTCCAAAAGTGCACAAAACTTGAGGAAAGGCTAGGAACTTGATTTAGAGTATCTTTGAGCTTCGCCGGAGTTGGTCAAAGTTTGCCGGAGTTGGTCAAAGTTAGTCAAAGTTCAACCGGGAAGCGTAGAAAGCGCTTAAGCTCACTTAAGGTGAGGATGACCGACTATATTGCTTATAATCTTTGGGTTAATTTCATGAGATTTCCTAAATGAATATACAATGTGATTTGCATGGATTATTAATGATTAAAAATGCCTAAATGAAATTACTATTGATTATACATAAGTATAGTTTGCATAATATACAAATTTAAGAATAAATTGTGTATGTGGATATGTTATGACTATGATGGCATGATAGTTGAATCTACCATGAATCCCATTTGTGATAAGTATGCACTTTTATTTCATGAGAAGAAGCCATGAAAGTATAAAAGTGATATTTTGATATTAAGGCCAAGTTACACATGAATGAAGAATTATATTGAAATGAGTAAATGACTAGTATTGAGATATTAGTTGAAATTGTAGTTGAATAATGGATGAATGGATCCTAAGATATTGTATTGTAAAGAATCGGTGATTATTGAGCTGGGCTCTAGACCGATGTAGATAACGGTGATTATTGAGCTGGGCTCTAGACCGTAGTAGCTATCGGTGATTATTGAGCTGGGCTCTAGACCGACGTAGATAACGGTGATTATTGAGCTGGGCTCTAGACCGTAGTAGTTATCGGTGATTATTGAGCTGGGCTCTAGACCGATGTAGATGACGGTGATTATTGAGCTGAGCTCTAGACCTTAGTAGGTAACGGTGATTATTGAGCTGGGCTCTAGACCGTGGTAAAAAAATGATGAATTGACAACAAACGAATAAAGTTAACCATGATATAATAACACCCTAGATTGAGGGTCTTGGAAATTGAAACTTTGATTATACTTAGTATAGTTGTCATTGTACTTGTCAAATGCTTCCAAGTACTGACCTCCCCTTCACGGGGGAGGCCACCTCACAGTTTCAGGGAGGAGCTGAGCTTGCTACCAGTGCCCGTTGCTCCGGGAGAATCCAAGGAAGGAAGACGTGGTTCGTGCTTCCTCCGTTCCTATTTAAAAAAAACATTTAAATTAATGCTCATGGATATTATATTTTTGAATAATCATTTGGGGGCTTGTATGCCCATGTTTGCCAAAGTGTGGCACGAACACTTGTTATATTACCTCCGCTGTTTTAAGTGAATATTTTACATTATGTTTGTTTACGGATGTACTATGTGTGAATGGTATACAAGACGCCTTGTACAATATGGATGAGTTGGACTGCGGTTGACTATTCGTATTGTACGGCGGGTTGTTGACGTGTCCGGCAGGTCCGGGGCGTGACAATTTAAATGGTATCAGAGCCTTAGTTCGTAAACTTCATAATGAAGCTTCAAAATCTCTTTTCGAAAATGAATTTGAAAACCATGAGCATAAAAGTTTTGTACTTATAGAACTTTTGGAACTTGAGTTGCAAGGTCTCTAATTGTTAAGATGGTACCCTTAACAATTCGTATGATGAAAATTTGAGCCAAGGGATGTCTTTAAGTACCTATCTGGCACTTGACATTGATACGAGTCTAATGACTCATTCTAATTCCTTTCAGAAATGGAGCCAGTCGGAAGGATCACTAGGAGGAACCCGACGGGCCGTGTACCGGGTGGGTCCGAGCGCGGTAGCCGGGGGTCCTCTAGGGGATCAAGAGGAAGGGGCCGTGGAGGCCAACGACGAACCGTGAGCGATGGCCACGTCGACACGGAAAGTGAGACCTATTGGTCTTATGAGGACTCAACCTACCGACCGGAAATGGAGCCGGTTGAGACCCCTTATGAAGGAGATGATGATGATGTGAGTGACGAGGAGGAAAATGGCTCCTTGGCTAGGATTGAAGCGCTGCTCCAACAATACCATCGGGAGCGCGAAGAAAGAAGGGAACGCCGAATGGTGAATCACTTTTGGGAGGCCTTGGACTTGGAAATACGCGATAGGGCAACTCAATTGCCCAACATGACTTTAAGCCAAGTGGTTGCCCAAGGGTTGAAAGGAGAGAAGCAATGGGAGGAGAGAAAGAAGAGAGACGCCGAGGAGGCGAAGAAGAGGAAGTGGGAGCACCATGGCCCCCAAGGTTCCAATAAGAAGGGGAACTATGGGGGAGGAGGATCATTCAAGGCACCGGCACCACCATCTAGGGGAGGCTCAGGCACGGGTGGGCAGAACTCGGGCTCGCAAGCCCCAATGGTGATTAGGTGCAGGAACTGTAACCGGAACCATGGGGGGAAAGTGTCGTGACCCTCCTCGGTGCTACCAATGTGGAGACACGGGGCATATCAAGCCAAATTGCCCTCAACTTGGTGGGAACCGAGGGGCGGGATCAAGCGGCGCTACTACGGCGAGTAGGAATCGAACCGGAGCACCCCATGCTTGTACGGGGCAAGGGGGAGCGAGCACAAGCAACGCGCCATCCGTGAATCAAGGAAGGACTCAAGCTAGAGTCTACGCAATGACCGAGGCCGATGCTCGGGCCAACCCCGACTCCGTTGCAGGTAATCCCTGGTTCACTCTTGTATTATTCATATACATGTGTATTATAAGCTTTAGGGAGCATGTGCGGGTCAACCGGTGACGTTTTGGCTCGTTTTTAACGGAAAAAAATGAGTTAAACACGCCCAGGGACGAACCGGCGCCGGCCCGGGCTTGAACCAGCGCCGGCCTAGCGTAAAACGTAGCCAGAAGGAAGCTGGCAGTAGCTTACCCGGCGCCGGCCAGGGGGGCAACCCGGCGCCGGCCCGAAAAAAATTTTCCGGATGTGCTATCCAGTAGCTTACCCGGCGCCGGCCAGGGGGGGAAACCCGACGCCGGTCCGGGAAGAATTTTCCGGTGCTTCGCTCCAGGGGATACCCGGTGCCGGTCCGGGCCATACCCGGCGCCGGTCCGGTGCAATTTTCCCCTTTTCGGATTCCAATAGCTTACCCGGCGCCGGCCAGGTCCATACCCGGCGCCGGTCCAGTGTATTTTTACCCAAAATTTTTTCGTTAAGCCCCGTTTCGATCCGGTACGTTGACTAGTGTGTCTTACATCACTTATACATGTAGGAACATTAAAGATCAATGGTAGAAACGCAAGGATTCTCATTGATACCGGGGCACAACGTTCATTCGTGAGTGAAGCGTTTGCCGAAAGTTTAGACGTGTCGTTGATAGGAATGACACAACCCTTGTTGGTCTCTACACCGTTAGGAGACGATGTGGAGAGGAAACACTACTATCCTTCGTGTGAGGTAGAAGTGACGGGTCAACCTTTGACTTGTGACTTCGTTGCTCTAAGTATGTTAGAATTCGATGCAATTCTAGGGATGGATTGGCTCGAGAAACATCATGCTCGAGTGGATTGTTATGCCAAGGTTTTGGAACTCGAGGGTGCTGAGGGAAACACTCTATGTTTCGAGGGAGATCGGGGAGGATCTCATAGTTGTATAATATCCGTGATGAGGGCACGGAAGATGATGAAGAAGGGATGCCACGCATACCTTGCTTATGTGGTGGATGAAGCAAAGAAGGAGGTTGACATCAACGATGTACGTATAGTGTGCAATTATCCGGATGTCTTTCCTAAAGACTTGCCGGGGCTTCCACCCAACAGAGAGATCGAATTCGTGATTGAAGTGGAGCCGGGAACCAAACCCATTTCGATTCCTCCTTATCGAATGGCACCGGCCGAGCTTCAAGAGTTGAAGGTTCAACTTCAAGAACTTGGACAACGGGTTCATTACACCCAGTCATTCACCGTGGGGAGGACCCGTACTCTTCGTAAAGAAGAAAGACGGTACACTAAGAATGTGTATAGACTACCGACAGTTGAACAAGGTCACGATCAAGAACAGGTATCCTTTACCGAGGATTGATGACTTGTTTGATCAACTTCGAGGGGCAACAGTATTCTCGAAGATTGATTTCAGGTCGGGGTATCATCAGTTGAAGATAAAGGAGAGTGACATACCTAAAAGTGCATTTCGCACTAGATATGGACACTACGAGTTTTTGGTGATGTCATTTGGTCTAACCAATGCACCGGCGGCGTTCATGGACATGATGAACCGTGTGTTCAGTGAATACTTAGATCAATTTGTGATAGTATTCATTGACGATATTCTAGTATACTCCAAAAGTGAAGAGGAGCACGAAGACCATTTGAGACTGGCACTCGAACGGCTAAGGGAAAAACAACTCTTTGCAAAGTTCTCGAAATGCGAGTTTTGGCTCAAAGAGATTGGGTTTCTCGGGCATGTCGTGTCGGGTTCGGGCATTGCAGTGGATAAGGCCAAGATAGAAGCCATTATGAATTGGGAGAGACCCAAAAATGTGAAAGAGATACGTAGTTTCCTTGGCCTAGCGAGATACTATCGTAAGTTTGTTGAGAAATTTTCCGTATTGGCGTCTCCATTGACAAAGCTCACGAAGAAAGGGGCCAAGTTCATATGGGACGACAATTGTGAGAAAGGTTTCCTCGAACTAAAGAAACGGCTTACGGAAGCACCGGTTCTCGCTCTACCCACACAAGGGATAGGGTATGACATATACAGTGATGCTAGCATCCAAGGGCTTGGATGTGTACTAATGCAAAATGGTCGGGTGATTGCCTATGCTTCTAGGCAATTGAAGAAACACGAGGCGAACTACCCTACCCATGATCTAGAGTTGGGGGCGGTAGTGTTTGCACTAAAGATTTGGAGGCATTACCTCTATGGGGAGACATGCCACATCTTTACCGATCATAAGAGCTTGAAGTACGTATTCACTCAGAAAGAGTTGAATATGAGGCAAAGGAGATGGATGGAGTTGATCAAGGACTATGACTTGATCATCGACTATCATCCCGGAAAGGCCAATGTAGTGGCCGATGCACTGAGCAGGAAGAGTACGTCGGGGACATTACTCACATGTCTACGAACTTTGAGGGCACAAGTGGAGGTGTCCACGAGTGGGGTCCTCATTGCTAGATTCGAGCTGAGGTTAGGCCTACATTGCTAGGTGAGATCAGTAGATGTCAGGCCACTGATGAAGAATGCCAGAAGATCCGCGAGCGGATTCTTGAAGGGCCCGTGGAGAACTTTCGGGTACGTGATGATGGCCTTTTAATGTTTAAGGACCGTGTATGCATACCGAAGAGTGAAGAGCTCCAAAAGTCTATACTAGAGGAGGCTCATTCTTCGGCATATGCTATGCATCCAGGAGGTACTAAAATGTACCGAGACTTGAAGGAAAGTTACTGATGGTCGGGTATGAAGAGGGACATCGCAGAGTACGTGAGTCGATGCCTTACTTGCCAATAAGTTAAGGCAGAGCATCAGCACCCGGCGGGGCTTTTGCAGCCGCAGACCATTCCAGAATGGAAGTGGGAGCATGTGACCATGGACTTCGTGGTGGGGCTACCACGAACGGTGAACAACAATGATGCAGTATGGGTAATGGTTGATAGGCTCACCAAGAGTGCACACTTTTTGCCTATCAACATTACTTATCCTCTAGAAAGATTGGCAAAGCTATACACGGAGGAGATTGTGAGACTACATGGAGTCCCGATATCCATTGTCTCGGATAGGGATCCACGATTCACATCTCGATTTTGGCCCAAGTTTCAAGCATCTTTGGGTAATAAACTAAAGTTTAGCACAACTTTTCATCCCCAGACGGATGGACAATCTGAGAGGGTGATACAGATATTGGAGGACATGCTTAGGGCGTGTGCTCTGAAGTTCCAAGGAAGTTGGGACAAACATTTGGCTCTAGTCGAGTTTGCCTATAACAACAGTTATCAGGCGAGTATTGGCATGCCTCCATACGAGGCATTGTATGGGAGGAAATGCAGAACACCGTTGTGTTGGGACGAGGTTGGCGAGGCCAAGCTCGAAGGGATTGAACTTGTCGAAATCACCAAGGCTAAGGTGAAAGTCATTCAGGATAGACTCAAGGCTGCCCAAGATCGGCAGAAGAGTTATGCCGACAAACGACGCAGGCCATTGGAGTTCGCGGTCGGTTATAAGGTCTTCCTAAGGATTTCTCCTTGGAAGGGTATCATCCGGTTTATATCGAGGGGAAAGCTTAACCCCCGATACATTGGTCCATTTGAAATCCTTGAAAGGATAGGGGCTGTGGCATACCGTCTCAAGTTGACGCAAGAACTTGAGAAGATACACGACGTGTTTCATGTATCGATGCTCAATAAATACGTGAGAGATCCATCTCATATTCTTGAGAAGCCACCGGTGGAGATACGTGAAGATCTACAATATGCAGTGGAACCTGTACAGATTGTGGGTCAACAGGTGAAGAAACTGAGGAACAAGGAGATTCCTATGGTAAAGGTTCTTTGGAGGAGTGATCGAGTCGAAGAAGAAACCTGGGAGACTGAGGTCTCAATGAGGGAGCAATACCCGTTTCTTTTCGATTAGACACGTGGATTTCGGGGACGAAATCCCAAATAAGGGGGGGTGAACTTGTAACACCGTCCCCAAATATATTTATTTTTAAATGAATAATGTATTGAACCTTATGGAATGGTTAATGAGGTTATGAAGTTGTGATTTTTATTATTGTTTTGTGTGTATAGTAAATTCGCACGCGGGTCCCACACCAGGAGCGGGGGCCGCCCGATATTCCCGAGACCGTATATCTTATTCATCTTGGTCGATATGATATTTATATAGTGGTGGGTAATTTATTTGGTCCAAAGAAATGACATAATGTGGACCGATTGGTAGGGATGTAAAAAAAAACCGACCCGCAATGACCCGCCCTGGCCCGAGACATTTGGGGCGGGTCCGCCCCGCCCCGTCTTGCAAATGGGGCGGGTCCGCCCCGGCCCGCCTATACAATGGGGCGGGTCCGGGTATTAGAATTGACCCGTGCCGCCCCGACCCGCCCCGACCCGACCCGCTCAATATATAAGTATACATATTTTTTCTTAACTTATACTACAAATATACTTCAACGTACATATGTGTGTATACAATAAATCATAAATTCTTTGATCTTATAATATATAAATAAGTATATATTAGAATGAGATGGATGGCGGATTATCAATGTCTTCTTTATATATAGAATTTTAATACATTTATTCAATTATTAATATAACTAATTAGATTAACTATTCAAGTTTGAGTAATTTTTCCTTAATTTTTGAAATTTTTAGCGTATCATGAATTTGATTTAATATATTTATTTTTAATTATTATTTAGAGATAAACATTATGTAGATTCAATTGGTAACAACTTCTCACAAATAAAAATACAAACTAGCTAATTAGGTTGTGGCGGGGCGGACCCGCCCCACATCACCCCACATGGGGCGGGTCATGGGTCAACAAGTTTGGACCCGTGCAGGTCACGGGGCGGGGCGGATCCGCCCCGCCAAATCACGGGGCGGGTCCGGGTCTTGCAATACCCGCCCCGACCCGACCCATTGCCATGCCTACCGATTGGTCAAAAGGGGCTCAATTACCGGTATTGGTAATTTAACAGATAACAACCCGAAATTGGATTTTGGAGACCTATAAATTAAAGTTGGGGAATGTATATTCACTATAAGGGTCGTAATGATTGAGAACACGTAATATATTTTATTTGACCCAATAAAATAAAATATAATTAAAACAGTCCGAAAAATACAACTTTCGGGACCGATTGTACACTTCTGGACAAAAAGGGTTGACCTCCCACATGGGTGGGGGCCAACCCACGAATTTAGCCTATTTTTCAAGGCCTTGGTCGGCTGGTATACTAGGGAGGCATGTGGGAAGAAGTGTGATTTGAGAGAATGAGAATAAAACAAAATGAGGTGGATCCCATCCACACTCATTTGCTCATTTAGACAAAAGAACACCCCCTCACCCCTCTCCCTCATTTTCCTGCGGCCAACCTTCACCCACCAAGAGCAAAGAAACTCTCCACCTTCCCTCTCCATTGTTGAAGAAAGCTCCAACAAGAAGGAAGTTCTAGGAAAAAGTTTAAGTTCCAAAAGTGCACAAAACTTGAGGAAAGGCTAGGAACTTGATTTAGAGTATCTTTGAGCTTCGCCGGAGTTGGTCAAAGTTTGCCGGAGTTGGTCAAAGTTAGTCAAAGTTCAACCGGGAAGCGTAGAACGCGCTTAAGCTCACTTAAGGTGAGGATGACCGACTATATTGCTTATAATCTTTGGGTTAATTTCATGAGATTTCCTAAATGAATATACAATGTGATTTGCATGGATTATTAATGATTAAAAATGCCTAAATGAAATTACTATTGATTATACATACGTATAGTTTGCATAATATACAAATTTAAGAATAAATTGTGTATGTGGATATGTTATGACTATGATGGCATGATAGTTGAATCCACCATATATGAATCCCATTTGTGATAAGTATGCACTTTTATTTCATGAGAAGAAGCCATGAAAGTATAAAAGTGATATTTTGATATTAAGGCCAAATTACACATGAATGAAGAATTATATTGAAATGAGTAAATGACTAGTATTGAGATATTAGTTGAAATTGTAGTTGAATAATGGATGAATGGATCCTAAGATATTGTATTGTAAAGAATCGGTGATTATTGAGCTGGGCTTTAGACCGATGTAGATAACGGTGATTATTGAGCTGGGCTCTAGACCGTAGTAGCTATCGGTGATTATTGAGCTGGGCTCTAGACCGACGTAGATAACGGTGATTATTGAGCTGGGCTCTAGACCGTAGTAGTTATCGGTGATTATTGAGCTGGGCTCTAGACCGATGTAGATGACGGTGATTATTGAGCTGGGCTCTAGACCGTAGTAGGTAATGGTGATTATTGAGCTGGGCTCTAGACCGTGGTAAAAAAAATGATGAATTGACACTAAACGAATAAAGTTAACCATGATATAATAACACCCTAGATTGATGGTCTTGGAAATTGAAACTTTGATTATACTTAGTATAGTTGTCATTGTACTTGTCAAATGCTTCCAAGTACTAACCTCCCCTTCAAGGGGGAGGCCACCTCACAGTTTCAGGGAGGAGCTGAGCTTGCTACCAGTGCCCGTTGCTCCGGGAGAATCCAAGGAAGGAAGACGTGGTTCATGCTTCCTCCGTTCCTATTTAAAAAAAACATTTAAATTAATGCTCATGGATATTATATTTTTGAATAATCATTTGGGGGCTTGTATGCCCATGTTTGCCAAAGTGTGGCACGAACACTTGTTATATTACTTCCACTGTTTTAAGTGAATATTTTACATTATGTTTGTTTACGGATGTACTATGTGTGAATGGTATACAAGACGCCTTGTACAATATGGATGAGTTGGACTGCGGTTGACTATTCGTATTGTACGGCGGGTTGTTGACGTGTCCGGCAGGTCCGGGGCGTGACACTTTCTTACTCTTTTAGAGGTTAGAGGGGTTTAATGCACCAAACCCTCCCTTGCTATAAAAATTCAACGCATTAGTCCTCCGTGATTAAAAATGCGTCAAATCTACCTGCGTTATATGATTCATGCGCAAAATCCCTTTTGTGAATAAGTTTAACGATTTTAAAATCACTTTTCTTAATATATACTTCATATATTTTTTAAGGGAAAGTTTCCGAAATAGGACTAAAAAGGTTTGGAAATTCCAAAGTAGGACTGTCATGTTTTTATTACCAAAATAGGAGTAATTACTGCCAAGTTTGGAAAATACTGCCAAAACATGACCGTAATTATTCCTATTTTGAAATTTTCAAACTTTTGTAGTCCTATTTCGGGTAATATTCTTATTTTTTAATCACTTTTCTTAATATTATGATTGAATATTCAAGTAAATTTGTCAAAATCTCTACTAATAATTAAATTTATTTGTAATTAAATTCGTTTTATAGAAAAGATTTTACGCATGATTAATAATAATAATAATAATAATAATAATAATTAGGGGTGGGTTCGGTTCAAACGATTCGGTTTTCACCTAAAACCAAATGTCGAACCAAAGTTAAAAGTTCGGTTCGGTTCGGTTTTATGTTCAAAAATTTGGAACCATGGTTTGTTCGGTTCGATTTATTTCGGTTCAATTTCGGTTTTTTCGGTTTTTACCAATATATTTTTGTTGATTAGAAAATTAGTAATTAGAAAACAAAAAAAAAAACTATATGAAACTGGTATTATAGTTATACACTTCGAAACAATGAATTAGATAGTACGTGTATACCAATTTAAACATTTCCTAATTAATTAAATGTGTGAGTTTATATGTGAATTATATACAGTGTATTCGCAAAATTTTATTAGTAAATAACCTATTCTACTTTGTTTTTACACAAAAATATTCATGCCCTAAAGTTTCACGTTTTTTGCGATGTTGTTTAAAGTATAGTTTATATAACACATATTTGTTCAATGTAAAAAACTATGTGATAACAAATATACATACATAACATATAATATATCAACAAAATATCATCATCAGGCAACGACAAGCAAAATGTAAGTTATGACTTTAAAATATCAACATAATAGTATTATAGCAATAGACTAAGTGTATGTACAAGTATTTCACTTAATTAAACAATAAATATTAAATATCAATATCTTTCAAATCATAATAAATTTAGCATCAAACATTAATTTTCTAGAATTAAGAATTAAGAACTAAACAAAATATTATACTTAATGATTAATAAATAAAATAACTAGTTTTAAAAGGTTCGGTTTTGAGATGTGAAAACCAAAACTGAAACCAAACAACAACGGTTCGGTTCGGTTTTTTGAGTTCGATTTCGGTTTCTTGCGGTTCGGTTGTTTTGGTTGCAGTTCCGGTTTTTTCGATTCGGTTTTCGGTTTGTCAAACCCAGCCCTAATCTTAAAAACTTATAATTAAGCATCAATGATGGTTAGGGTATTTTAGGAATTATAAAAATGTTGGTGTAACTCTAAAGCAAGATATACTTGTACCATTTGTTTTGATCATTGTACCCTTAATCATTATCCATATTTATGCTCCTTAACTCCGTTAGAATCAAACTGTTGAGTTTCCATGAAATTAACATTCTAGGTGGCCTTCGTTTTATTATTATTGTATGTACTTAATTGCTTTGATTTTCATTTATTTTTGCATTTTAAAATGATTACTTTGAATGATTTAGTATATATTTTTACAAATTTTACCCGTGAATAGTGCTCTGTTTATTCCTTCAAATTACATACGGAGTACTATATTTGGTTTTCCTAAACAGGTCTTATTAGAGGTGGGACTTTGAAACCAAGAATCGGAAAATCAAACCGTTATGGCCTGGTTCGGTTCGGTTCCAACATTTATTAGTTATTTATTAATGGTTCGATTCCTATTTCTTATTAACAGTTGGTTCTCGATTCCTTAAAAAAGTATGTGCTCGAAACTTTTAAGGAACCATTATATATATAATAATAATTAAAAATTTATATATTACTTATTAGTATATACTACATATGAGAAATATTCAGGTCAGGTATACCTGACCACTGCCCCCGTCCGGCCTCCTCCATTTGGGGGTCTTCCCGATGGTATTTTTTGCTCAAATTTTTTGTGTAGGTTCCTCATTAAGTCTAGTTAATCCATACCAAATTTCAGCCAAAAATTCAATCGGGAAGATCGTCAAATGATTTTTGCAAGTTAACTGGTCCGGAAAATACATATTCCGGACCAGTTAACTTGCAAAAATCATTTGACGACCTTCCCGATTGAATTTTTGGCTGAATTTGTTTGTGGATAAACTAGACTTGATGGAGAACATGCCATAAAAATTTCATCAAAAAATTCCACCGGGAAGGCGGCCAAACGCCGCCGGCCGGACGGCGGTTCCTGTCCGGACGTCTGGACAGGATCAGGACTCTACTACATATATTTTAATGTATATTTACTTATTTATTTTTATATTAAGTTTGCTATTTGGAATTGGTCCTTTGGATGCTTTGCTCTTCACAAACTTTTGTCTCTACTAATTTACATTGCTGATTCAAGATAATAATTATTGATTGTAGTGAATATCTTGTTTTGTTTTATGTACTAAATTGTCAGTTCGGTATGTACTTATGTTTAAAACTCAACTTGTGAGATTCGAAATGATGATAAACATATTTATGTTTATTATAGTTTTCAACATTGAATGACTTTATTTGGCACAAATTTACTAGTGTTTTTTAATATATTTTTTAAAAACTAGAAACCGTAAAATGGCAAGAACCGAACCGTTAAAGAATGGTTCGCTTCCATGCCAGTTTCTTAAATGATTTTGTGAGTTGTTTCATCTACTTTGCCTAGGAACCGAAGCTACTAATGATCTTCCAAAACTACATTGATACATACCTTTGTTCGCCCATAAGAAACGTGTATTTGGTGCAAATGATTTGTACAAATATCACATTGGGCATATCACATTGTACAAATATCAAATGATTTGTAAAAAAAACTAGTACTAATAATAATAATAATAATAATAATAATAATAATAATAATAATAATAATAATAATAATAATGTGTCGAATTTAGTGCAGGAGCTTAAAAATTTGTCCGATACAACTTTCTAGCTCACTGTCAGAATATCAAGCAACCTCTCCCCCTTCTACAGTTCTAACTACCGGTATAGAAACGATAGTTCTCTTTTTGTCTTTGATTTCTCTGTCAGAAACGCAAACCTTTTTCTTGAGAATTTCGTAAACTTCAGGTGTTGGCATCACTTCTCCAGCTCTCAGTTTCGAATCCAAGCAAGTATGTTTTCATTATATTGAGCAGATTTAGAAGGATATAGCAAAAACAGAATAAGCAGTTAGAAATTAGAAGTTAGTTAAGCTGAATCAGCAAGTTGTTAGAGAAATTGTTGTATAATACATGACAGAAAAGCTTTATTTCTGATTCATTACAAAATGACATCTCTGTTCGATTCTTCTACCATTTCTCTCTTTACTAAATGCTCCCAAAACTCGAACTGATCTTATCTGGTTTATACTCGAACTTAATATAGTTCCTGTACTACAACAATCCAGTAGGTGAAAATGGAAGAATACTTGCAATGCATGAAGACTCTGCGTTCTCAGATGAACGGTTTTTTTCCATCTCTCTGTCAATAATTGAGAAGGTTTAGTACTCGATCAGTTGGGACAATGAATCATACAGACGCTCCTGTGTGTATTCACAATTTTTTGCGTTCATGTCTACAAAATAAGAATAATGAGACTATATGTTGAATTTACTGCATACTGCTGAATGGATGAACCTTTTTGTATCATTGTGTGTGTGTGTATGATTCCAGATGTGGAGGATCAAGCGGCAAAAGTTTCAGCAGAAGAGCAGATGCTCTTTGCTACAGTTCAAACGCTCGAAGGAGACCTCAGTTCAGGTTTTTGCCAATTCGAAGCTCTCCATGTTAGACTACCTGTAAAATAGAAGCCATTCAATGAGCTGTATACCTGTTGCCTGTAGTATTATTGATAAATGAATCAATATGTTGTGTTGATTTTCATCTTTTTGCGATGATCCATGGAACTTTCAATGCATGTCAATCCAATCAAAATACAGATGCTTTTTCTGGTACTGCTAGTATGAGAGTTTGGACTAATTCAAATATACATCGAAAAAGAATGTTTGAATTTGCTGTTAAGAATAGAATTGCATGAAGACTCGTGCTTCGAGTTGATGTGATGAACCTTAAATGTGCAGGACATATCAGGGAAACTTGTAGGATTATTTTATGAACCAGTGGGGTTCGTTTCGTCCATATGTTTGATTTTGTTTTTCTATTTATGTTTTGTATTAATACCAGAAAAGTTTTTTTTTTTCTGGATACCACGGAAAAGCACACCAGAACACTTCTATATGATGTAATGGGACACTAAAGCTCACCTTCACTTGTGGACAGTTTTTCATTTGTACTGCTTGTCAAGCACACAATTCCTGTGCAAGTGGGGACCCCCCTATGATGATGACTTTTTTCGTAGTCTCATTTCATTATACTTCATAAGAAGACTGCAGCAAGGACATCCGGTGTTTTTGCACGAATTTATGATGCTAACTAAATTTAGAAAATCAAATCTATCATATATTAGATTTCGCTGAAAAAACATAGTCGGGATTGAGATGGTGATGACTGAAGAGTTATGAAGTTCTTACATAAATCATACGTGCAGTGAAGAGGCATACTCTTCAGACTAAGGAGGAAACTGACAAAATGGAAAAGGCAAAGGGAGAAATCTGCTCTATGATCTTGGCAAAACAGAGAAAGTTTCCTTCTTTGGAAGCTAACCTATCCACCCTCTATCAGGTATCCATTTTTATTACTTTCTTAAAATTGAAATGCAAGCAGGGAATTTGTGAATATGCTTTTTAGTTTTTCTTGTGGCATGTATCAAAATCTACATAATTGCAACCTCATGTCAAGTTCTATTTCTGATATTTCTTGATCCATGTATTTATGTGATCTAGTTACCTCCTCTCTGAGGAGGATATACAGTGAAAAATGAATAACATGTACAGATATGTGTTTAGTATGTGTGTTTGGTGTCTTCTTTAATGTATGAGTTGTGAGTTTGCTGGTAGGACCTTGTTACTCTATATTAGAAAGGCAACAGGAATTGAAATGAAGGAAATGAAATCTCATATTGATGACAATAGGCAGTACAGAGGGTTTATATAGTACAGAAGCTAAACAGAATTACAACCACAATAACTAGTTCTATTAGACTAACTGTAACAATATTATTACAAAGAGTGTACGTATTATTATTCCTAACATTCCCCCTTCAAACTTAGGGTGATTGTTTTGGAAAGTCAATCACACTAAGTTTGGTTTTGAAGTCTAGAAAAGAAGAGGCAGATAGAGGCTTTGTAAGGACATCAGCAAGTTGATGAGGGGCTGGAATATGAAAGACTTCAAGCTGCTTGGATTGATCTTGCTCTCTGATAAAGAAGAGATCAATTTCCATGTGTTTTATTCGAGAATGAAGGACATGATTATGTGCAAGTTGTACTGTGCTCAGATTATCACAATAAACTTTGGAAATTGTGAAAGGAACTTGCAGTTCTCTGAGTAGATATTGAACCCATAAGAGTTCAGCTGTGGTATCTGCTAAGCTTCTGTACTCAACTTCTGCTGAGGATCTAGCAACTCTTACTTGTTTCTTGGACCACCAAGAGATAATATTTGATCCAAGAAATATGCAGGATCCAGAAGTTGATCTTCTATCAACAGGATCTGAAGCCCAGTCAGCATCACAAAATGCTAAGATAGGCAGAGGTATAGTGGTTAAAGGAAGTGGTTTGATGATGATGCCATGTGTAATAGTGCCAGAAAGATATCTCAAGATGTGTTTGACTGCCTTCCAGTGATCTGGTAAAGGTGTGGCCATGAATTGACAGACCTTGTTGACTGCATAGCTGATCTCTGGCCTAGTAAGAGTAGCATATTGTAATGCTCCAACTATGGATCTGTAGGTGGAGGGGTCAGGTAAGTAGTCACTTCCTGTGTTTGTGAGTTTGCAGCTGCTTACCATAGGTGTTTTCACCCCTTTGGAATCAAGCATTCCTACTTTATGTAGTAGGTCTTTGACATATTTAGCTTGAGACAGGTGTAAGGAGCCATTATTCATTCTCCTTGCTTCAATTCCCAGGAAAAAATCAATTTCACCCAGATGTTTGAGTGATAATGAGGATTGTAGTGTATGAATAAGTTGCTGAATTGCAGTAGAGTTGTTACCAATGACAAGAATGTCATCAACATAGATGAGAATGTAAATCTGAGTTCCAGGAGATAGAAATATGAGTAGAGATGGATCACATTTACTCTGTTTAAAACCAGCAGCATAAAGTATCCTGTGCTTGAAAACCTGGGGGTTGAGTCATGTAGACCTCTTCCTCAAGAGTTCCATTTAGAAAGGCATTATTGATGTCAAGCTGTTGTATGGACCAGTTGTGAGAGATAGCTAGAGTTAGAAGAATCCTGATAGTAATGGGCTTAACAACTGGGGAGAAAGTTTCTCCAAAATCAAAGCCAAATCTTTGAAGGAAGCCTTTAGCCACTAATCTGGCTTTGAACTTGTTTATAGACCCATCAGAATTTTCTTTGATTCTGAAAACCCATTTGCAACCAATGGGTTGTTTATCAGGTGGTAGAGGAACAAGAGACCTTGTTTTATTTGCCATTAAGGCATCATATTCTGTCTGCATGGCTGAGAACCACTGAGGAGATGAAATAGCTTGCTTAACTGACTTGGGCTCAGTATGAGCTAATAGTAAGGTAGGATTTAGTCTAGGTTTGACAATTCCTGACTTTGCCCTAGTTTGCATAGGATGAGTGTTAGTTGGATGAGAGAAGGAAGATGAGGTTGATGATGAAGTTGAAATAGATTGGGTGGGAGATAGGACTGGGGTTGAAATAGGTTGAACTGGTGAAGGAGAAGGAGTGGAAGAAATAGAGTTAGATGAGTCACAAGATGAGTTGGAGGAAACATTGTTTTCTGAAGCAGTAGGTTGAGAGGAATTTGTGTGGGGTTGAGATGGAGGAATAGAGGGTTTAAAAGAGGTAGGGTGAAAAACAGTTAAAGGGACAGAAGTTGGAGACTGAGTTTGAATAGAGTGATGAGAAGTGGAAGGGAAAAGCACAGAATATGGAAATCTGGATTCATGAAAAGTAACATCTTTGGAAATGTAGACTTTGCCAGATGATGAGAGACATTTATACCCTTTGTGTTGTGATGAGTAACCTAGAAAAACACACTCTTCAGAGTGAAATGCCATTTTATGTTTGTTATAAGGTCTGATGAATGGGTAACAAGAACAACCAAATACTCTGAGAAAAGAGTAGTCTGGTAGTGAACCATACAGTTTGAAATATGGAGTAGAGTTTGCAATGGATTTGGATGGAGTTCTATTTAGAAGATGTACTGAAGTTGCAAAGGCAGCATCCCAGAATTTAAAAGGTAGTGAAGAGTGAGCAAGAATGGATAGACCTTTTTCTACAATTGTCCTATGTTTCCTTTCAACAACACCATTTTGATGGTGTGTGTGAGGACAGATTAATCTGTGAGTGATGCCTTTTTCATTAAGAAAGGTGGTGAAGGATCTGAATTCTCCACCCCAGTCAGATTGAATTGACTTGATGGAGTGGGAAAATTGATTTAGAACATACTGATAAAAGTTCTGAAATGCTGTGAAGGCATCAGATTTCTTTTTCAGGAAATAAATCCATGTGTATTTGGTACAGGCATCAATGAAAGAGATATAGTATGAGTAACCATCAAAAGATAATATGGGAGCTGGTCCCCATTAATCAGTGTAGATTAACTCAAAAGGTGACTGATAAATGGTTACAGATGTGAGATGTGTGTGCTGGTAATCTATGTGCTTTTCCCAAACAACAGGCATAACAAAAGGAAATATCACTTTTATTAATGGAAGACAGATTACAGAGTTGTAGAACACATTTAAGTGCCTCAAAATGAGGATGTCCTAATCTGAGATGCCACAAATCAGAAGAAGTAGGTACATTACATGTTTTTGATGTATTACAAGTGGAAATAAAAGATATAGGATGCACTGATTGATTTATTACAGACTTAACAGACTTAACAGACTCAGCAGCAGGTTGGTATGACCCAAGAGGAGGAATGGATTGAAACTTGTACAGACCATCTGCACCAAGAACTCCATGTAACAGAACTTGTCTAGAAACCTGGCATTTGACATAACAGTCATGAGGATAAAACTCAAAGTAAACATTGTTGTCTTTAGCAAATTGACTAACACTCAAGAGATTTTTAGTTATGGAAGGAACATGAAGGATATTGTTTAATGAAAGAGACTGAGATGCATTATAGGGAGAGAGAAAGGAAGAGAAACCAATAGATTTTATATCCAAACCTTGACCATTGCCTATAAAGAGCCTGTTAGTTGTAGCAAGGGGTTCACTGTGTTGGAAGTTTAGTGGATCAGCTGTAACATGGTGTGTAGCCCCTGAACCTGGGAACCAATGCTGGTTGGTTGGTGCTGGGCCAAGAACAGAAGAATTTGCACTGGCAAAGGCTGCAGATGGTGAGGGTCTTGGAGATTGATGTTCCCAACTGAAATGATCTGAAGCTGGAATGGTAGATTGTTGATTAAAGAAGGTGCCAGAAGGGTTTGGAGATGTGTGTTGTTGATATGCAGGTTGTCTGAATTGATGGTTAGGTGGATGAGTAAATGGATATGGAGTAGGGTATGATGGTTGTGAGTTCCAGTTGTTTGATGGTGAAGGTATGGTGGTAGTGTATGATGTGTGAGAATTAGGATGTTGATTTGGAAGGGAGTTGGGTTGAGGATTAGGGTTTGTATAAGCAGGGTTATAGCGATGATAGCATATGAGTGCATGATGGCCTGATTTACCACACACTTGACAAATAACAGAGTTCCGGCCACCAGAACGACCACCACGACCTCTGTTATAGCCACCACGACCACGTCCTCTATAGGAATTGCTATTGTTAGGGTTTGAAAATTGGGCAATATTGACAGAAGAATTCTCAGAGGAATTTGCTTCAGAATTGCTATGATTTAGGGACAAATTTTCAACTCTAGCCACATTAGCAGCAAACAGATTTTGTTGAGTTGATTCACGCAGCTTTTTCATACGCATTTCTTTGAGTGCAAGCATAGGTTCAAGTTCAGAAACTGTTACCGGATCAGTAATGCTTCGAGAGGTTACAGATGATACGAGAGATTCATATTCTTCTGGCAATCCTTCAAGGATAACATTTACATGATCCTTAGCAGATATAGGTTCTCCAATCGTCATGAGATTATTGACTATGTTTTGAATTCGAAGAAGATACTCGGATATCGATCGTTCTCCTTTTCCAGTATTATAGAGCTCCGATTTCAATTGTCTGGCTTTCGCAGTGAGATTTGACTGAAAATGTTTGCGAATCGCACTCCAGAGTTCGTGCGAGCGTTGGCAGTGAATAATGCGAGCATGAAATGATTCAGTCAAGGACGAAAGCAGCCACGAGAAAAGCATTTGGTCCTGTTGCTCCCAAATAACGTACGCATCATTGATCGTCTTGTTGCCTTGATCATCACCATTGATAAACTGGTCAGGAATTTCAGGTTTTTCAACAAACCTAAACAGTTTGTGTGCACGAATCACTGATTCGATATGATGCTTCCAGAGGAGATAGTTATTTGAATCAAGTTTAATTGGAATAGGATGTGTGAATACTGCTGGAAATGTAGGATTTCCAGGAGCGGAAGAAGGTGAGGTTGTAGAATCTGAGTTCGTCATGGTAGATCGAGCAGAAGCTTTGATACCATATTAGAAAGGCAACAGGAATTGAAATGAAGGAAATGAAATCTCATATTGATGACAATAGGCAGTACAGAGGGTTTATATAGTACAGAAGCTAAACAGAATTACAACCACAATAACTAGTTCTCACAGACTAACTGTAACAATATTATTACAAGAGTGTACATATTATTATTCCTAACACTCTATAACTTATCACCTTGACTTCTTTAAATACTATTCTGCCTTAACTGGCAGTGTAAAGCATCCATATCTAGGTTTGCCGTAAGATTTAAATGGAAATATTATTTGACATGTAATCATCTGTCCGCTACTAATCTTAGATTGAAAATAGCTGGTTTGATTGAAGTTGTTTAGCATTTTTCAATATCATCAACTAGCTTTAAGCATGATCTCATTCTAGAAGTTGCTTAAGCAAAATAAAATTGCTCACGAACAACCATCTTCGCATATACTTAAAAATAGTTGGGCTTTGATCCATGTCTTTAGTTGTACCAACAAAACAAGGAAAACACTTAATTTCAATTTTCCTATCTTCTTTTCTTGTAAATGATATAAATAGTGTTTCTCTGATCCTTGTTATATCTGTTTTCCAGTCATTAGAACTTATTCAACAGGAAAGAGGGAACTTGCCAGTGAAACTTTCAGAGAAGAGGTAGTTTAAAGACCTTTCATCAAAGATTTTATTATTGGAAAGGGATGTTATATTTATTTATACATAATATCTCCTTGCAGATCATATTATTCCATGGTTACTGATGATATCATCAATCAATTGAAAGAGCAACAGGTTTTCCATCTTCATTATCCACCATGTTTTTCCATTGTCATGTACATATTTAGATTGTAAATGCTGCTATGCTGAATAGCGTTGGATGGATGATCACAAGCATTCCTCATTAATTGGAGAAAATTCTCAGGTAATTCCTTACTGAACTTTGCTTCTTATCACCCTTATCCTTACTGTTTTAGTGTAATTGTTTTCTGTCCATAACCAAGCTCATCATTGAATTGAAGTTTTTTAAAGGAACCTCAAGTCATATTTTAAAATGTTTAGTTCGTTGAGTTCTTGACTATATATGATATGATGTTTGGTATACTAATGAGCAATGACTTAATGCTGCAGCCAACTGACACAACTTTCAAGAAACCTGGTGAACTTGAAGGTATGAGTTAGGAAAATCCATAGTGCATTAATAAATTGACTTTAAGGAACTGTTGCTTAGCATCTACTACTACTGTACTACATAGTACATACTAGATGCATAGCTATATGATAGTTTGTTATTGTAAATTGTAATAAACCACTACATGATTTTCTGACTTCAAACAATGCTTTTATAACCAAACGAGTTGAATACTGAAGAGGTAATATCGTTTCCACTCCAATATGGTGAACAGGTAAAACCCAGCGTCTTGCTTGTTCATATACCAGGGGGTTTCACATGGGAAGAAAATATGTTCCATACTAATGAATTTCGGTCCATAATAACCATGGGGCCTAACACATAAGATATTGTAATACTTACCATTGAGGCCCTACCGATTAGTATTACACAGATTTGATTTTGAAATGGGAACAAATAGAAAACTTCTTTTTCTATAATCACACCTCATTACTTTTTCACTAACATGGTAGAACTTTGACGTACATGAACATGGCCAAAATGAGCTTTAAGTTTTATATAGGTTCTAATGCAATGCTGATCTTTTTTAGATTCATTTATTAATGCCATGATTAGCTATAGATATAGTCCTACACCTAGAACATATGACCAACCTAGGATAAAATCAACTTTTTGCACTCTCAGGATAGACCAAGAGGCATATGTGCATAGTTGTTTGATGGCTAGTAGTGATAAACTTAAGGAGAATAATACTTTACTGTTCTCGAGAGAATGTTACTTTACTGTTCTGGAGAGAATAATAAAGTCCGGTTGATCTTCAGTCTGTCAGGATGATGCAGTCAAAAGCGTTTCAAACAATTATGAAGCTGCTAGTAATGAACTAAGCCTCGTGAAACAACAGAAGTTAGAACTTGATTTGGAAAATAGCAAGGTTTGTTTATGCAGTCCTTAATTTTCATTTCATATTAGGTAATTTTAAAATTTGAATTTATGAGCTGAAGAACTATCCAGTAGATAGTACTCGAACTGCTTATTAAAGCCATCGGGAGAATCAATTATTTTTTGTTTGTTATGCTCGAAATTATTTTATATCACCTTCACCAGCTCTTAAGCTTAAAGTTGTTCGTGCTGTTTCACATTGAAAACAGAGAATTTTTAAACATTATTGAATAATGGGGTGATAGATTATTAAATTCCCATTCTACAGTACACACATTTCCATGAAGTAGTTGTGCGTTCATTAGTTTTCTGGGTTCATGCTGAGTGCCTGAGTGCTTGTCCATAGCCCTTACGTCCTAGGGCACATGGAACAATGGAAGTTTCCCATTGAATAACAAAATGTATAATCCAAAGATATATAGAATGTTACCTACACATTTTCATTAAACAAATACTGAGTATAGTATTACATCTAAATATGAATGAAAAGTGACTATTTAATAATTGGATGTACTAAAATGCCCTTAGCATCAATTTAGGCAAAAAAACAAATAGCAGTTTTCTAACTTCTAACCTATGATTGTGTTTGGTAAGTGGTAACACTACAACTATGGTTTCACACACCAAATAATAATTAAAATAAGTCACGCTACATGTGCTTTTTTGTCTGAATTAGCTGAATATGCTATAGAAGACACTTAGTTTTTTCCATATAATTTCATTTTATTTTATTAATAAAATACTACGTATAAGTTAAATATCTTTATTTCATAATTTATCATATTCAGCCAATTTAGACATAACTTTAACAATCTGACCACATTCTTTATATTCAGCCCATTTAATGTTACCAAATGAGCTCTAAAAAACTTCAGTCAAATGCGCGTCAAGGAACTTGAGGTTCTTTGAGGTGACATTTGGATATATATATATCCAAATGTATATAGATTAAAGATCAAATAAGAACAAGGCTTAACGTGAGAACATGAGAACACCACATTTACCCTGATGTGATGCACAATGAGGCTCGTCCAATGCACTTTTTCATGTTTAATATAATATTTACCAAAATGCCACCGTTATTATTTATAATGGCTTGTTTGGAGCAAAGTCAAAATGTGCATCAGACGGGCTCTATTGTGTATCACATTGGGTTAAATGTGAGTGTTCTCACGTTAAGCATCGTTCTCATTGGAACCACACCCTATATATATAGAATTTGGTTCAAATGAGAACATGATCTAAGGAGTGAAATGAGAATGATTATGGAACGTTGGATTTGGATATTGTGTATGATATAAAATAGAAATGTGCACTATCATAAATTAAAAAATGTGCATTTCAACTGTGCATTATTTTAACCACAAATATGCACGTTTGAACTTTGCATTACTTTAACTATAAATGTGCACCTCCGTGAACCATAATGTGCATCATTATGGATCATTCTCATTTCTCATGGGACGAAGTGTTCTCATGTGCTTATACATATAGCTCATCTCATAGGTTTGAACAGTTTGAAGTTAGTAACTTAGTATTAATTGCATTTTCTCTAAATCTGTTTGCTTATTGCAGTTGACTCAATCTGTAGAGATCATGAAGAAGAAGATAAATGATTTTAAGGTCCGTTTTGAACTCATGACCAAGTAGGGACTTTTATCTAAATTTTCCAAGACCACTTTCTCTTTGATTTATTTACATAATGTGTATTCTTATGGCACACTGTGAAGGATATAAATTGGATGGTATGGCAACCTTTTCAATATAAATTAGATTGCCACTCCCAGAGTCATATTTTGAATGCTACTTCCTTTTTATTTCCATCTGAAATTAGGACAGTTACAATTATCTATATGAATCTTATTAGCACATAATAAGTGCACATCCCCTAATGGGACATTTGAAGAAGCATTTGGGATTAAATTCTTTATTACGTAGTATGTTGTAAATGAAAAAAAAGTAAAACCCCTCTTCTTGAATCACCTGAAACTATGTTGCTATAATGATGGGTTGGTGATTACAGCCAGAACTGAGGGAAATGGATGTAAAGTTTTTGGAAAAGGAGCTTCTAGCACTTTTAGCAGATAAGGCTGAACTAGCCGAGTTTATGCAGTCTTTACAACTTCAGATAGTGAAATTGAAGGTAGACATTTTTGTCCAGCATTTCTTTTGCACTTTTAATGCATTAATGTCAAATGATCAGCATAGGTAGACTTCTAACTAGAATTACTTTTTGATATCCTAATAGAACATATGATCGTAATGCGTTAAACACGTAAATCTAAATTTCAAACATCTCAGGGAATTTCACATACAATCAACTGTTCATGTGGAGAGAAGTACGAGATAGAGTTGAACTCTTGTGTTGGATGAGGAAAGTACTGAAGAAAACATTACTGTAAATCATATGCACTTTCCTGCTGGGGGACGTCAGACTGACCATGCTTTCTCTCAATACAAGTAACTCATCATGACGATTTGAAATAAAAGGATATGTTTGCCTCTGTTGCGTATACGTTTGTGAGTATCATGTGTGCTTGTGTGAGTTGTGTTGTGTCTGAATATTTGTTTCTGAAAAGAAAGAGACCAAACCCAACACCAGCTTTTGTTTCTTACTTTGATGTATCCCAAGTATTGCTTTCAATACATGCACTGGAAATGCAAAAAAACAGTGATTGCAATATGTGATTACTATGTGCTTCATTTTTATAATATCCGGCAAATGTTCCCCGGCATTTATAATATCATATGCACTTTCCTGCTGGCTGACGTCAGTCTGACCATGCTTTCTCTCAATACAAGTAACTCATCGTGACGATTTGAAATAAAAGGATATGTTTGCCTCTGTTGCGTATACGTTTGTGAGTATCATGTGTGCTTGTGTGAGTTGTGTTGTGTCTGAATATTTGTTTCTGAAAAGAAAGAGACCAAACCCAGCGCCAGCTTTTGTTTCTTACTTTGATGTATCCCAAGTATTACTTTCAATACATGCACTGGAAATGCAAAAAAAATAGTTATTGCAATATGTGATTACTATGTGCTTCATTTTTATAATATCCGGCAAATGTTCCCCGGCATTTGCCCCACCGATTTCGGTGGTTTTGCTTACCAGGTAAAAAAATGTGATTACTATGTGTTGTAGTCATACACTTGATGAGCTTGTGTACCTTTATTTTTTATACACGCTTGTATACCATTATATATGTATCTGAAAACAGTATCAATTTAGGTGCAAATTCTAATCCCCTTCAATATTTATTACCCTTTTTCTAAAAGGTAATAAAATATATACTTCACATGCTTCCTAGCTTCTCCAATGATGTGCAGATAACTTGTGCTTCATAACTCTCGGCTATGGTTGTGGTTGTGTTGTTTTGGGATGTTACATCTTTCCATTTGATGCTATCTTCATCGTGAAGAAGCTTATGACTGCCACATTCCACACAATCTTGTAGAATAATAATCTTGTGAAGGCCCATGAGCAGGTCTGCATAGTCAGTGTCCCCGCTTTCCCCCACAAAGACTGTTATTCTGGAAAGATCTATCCCCCATCTAATAGAAAGGTACCTATAAAAGGACCAAATATAAATACTGCTTATTAGTTCCATAGAGTTCCTCTACCTCTTTTACTAGGAGTATATATTAGTACAGAGATGGATACCTGATTGCTTGGGATCTTGATGCATATAATGGAATCACATTCAACCTTAACCCAGCATGTGTGTATACAGTGTTGCAACGAAATCCTCTCATGCGTAGCCTTTGTCGAAGATCATTCACTCTCCGAGTCTAAATGGCAATATATCATCCGAAATGAGAAAGTAAAAAGTTGTTAATTTGTTAAACTTGATGGGCTTAATATATCACCTTGGTTCCCGCTTTAATGATATAAGTGTAGCATCGGGAGCTGCTTGGGCTAATGCAAGTCATGTCATCACTGTCAGTACCGCTGGCATCTACTTTGGCCAGCCTTGTCATGACTGATTTTACATTCTCACATGGCCACCGGTACTCAATATGCATTTCATAGTCTTCATCGAGTACCATATCCCTCCATGGATAGTACATTTCACTCCCACTGTTGCAAGCAATTGCATCAAAATCTTCCAGATTTGCTTGGCTATTCTTTATTGCTTCTTTCATCTCATGGAGACTCATTCCTGTCATTAGTACTAAACCTGTTTGGCTGGATTTTGAACCTCTAATTTGGTTCACATTGTTGATGATTAGAGATAATATCTCTGAAGCATTTCCCATGTTGTCATAACAATCTACTGCCACTACATATAGTGCTTGCCTTCTTCCCGGGAAATAGCTAATGGATAATTTGGGATTCAAAGATTGCTTCCGTGTTAGCACATTGATAAGTTCTTGCTTTCTGTTATCCATATCAACATCTCTGTTAAGTTTAAGGTCTGCATCAATGGAGAAGTTAAGTGAAAAGTCTTCAACCCCACATAGTGATTCAGTCATTGGTTCTTCAGTAGCTGGCACTATAACTTCAAGAAAATTTGCAGGGTGGCGTTTTCTGCAATGCTCGACATGGGATAAATAGTTAAGGCAATGATCTGGCCAGGAGAAGCGACTGATGTTTTTTAGACCATTCTTACGGCACTCAAGCCAGAGGGCTTTATCAACAACAAGCTTTAGAAGAGCATCTGATATTCCTTGTTGGTCATGTGGATCAACAAGCAACCCATTGTTAAGCTCCTAATTTACATTTTCACCCATTAAAATGAAGTGTTTTTCTACTCACTCAGATACGATCTAAATTTTGGCATATATTTTACCTTAATTATATCAACAGGCCCTCCATTTTTTGTTGCAACTACTGGTAATCCATAAGCTGCAGCCTGCAGGAGAAAGAGTTCTATGAATTTACAGGGTAGATAAAGACAAACCAGAATCTCCCATATGGTTCATCAAAGGTTATTACCTCAATAAGAGTGAGACCAAATGGCTCAACAAAAGCTGGATTGATGAAAACTCCCTTCAAGAACAGATAGTTTTTCCAAAGAGTTGTTATTAGTTAGGGGTCTTGAATCTTGATTAAAGAAAAGCACGATAGCGGGAATTTTTCTCCGCAGTTACACATTTATTAAATAACGTATTAATCATTGTTCAACTAGCTTTTAAAACTCGTTATGGAAAATATGTTTGTTAATAAGAGACATTGCTCATTGACAATATAACTCAAACAACCTTAAATTGAGGATTATTTTATTCAACTCAGACTATTTATTCAGCACACAAACTAAACAGTTTCATATAAAAATGTTACATAGTCCAGATAGTCATCTTAATACAAATGGACATTTTAATCCAGACAAGACTTGATAATAGAAATAAGTAAAAAGTCCCTTATTCTTGTCAAATTTAAGTTTGCACTCTATTTTCAAAATAATTAGTGTTTGCACCCCAAAGTCCAAAAAATCTATGAAATGGGGTGCAAATTTTATGTTTAGAGTGCAAATTCCAATTATTTTGAAAGTGGGGTCTAGATTCAATTTCAGCTGAAAAGTTGAGGTGCAAACTTCAATTATCCCTTCAATGTAGGTTGAGTTACCTTGGTTTTTGCAGCTAGGCGATATATATCAGGAACCTCGTGTTGCTTGTGATGCTTTGGATATGCCACCTGGCCGTATAGATTGTATCTGTCAATGAGCTTAAGTACTGCAGTGACAACTGTGGAGGTGTTACTTGACATCTCTTCTATATCATCTCTGTTGCCCAGTATAAGTGTCTGCATTGAATATTCAAGTGTTTCATGCTCAATGGTGTGCTCGACAAAACATATGCTCCCCTGTCTCACTAGACTTTGCTTACTTTCCTTTTGTGTTTGTCTAAAAAACTTTGTCGCTTTCCTTTTGAAGTAATGAGTTTGTATTTCAACTTATTTCTTTCTCTTCTGTACAAACCTCAATCACACAATTTTTACTTTTCTTATTTTACACCCAACACAAAGTTGTCAATATCCCACAGGACGGAGGTAATAGTATAAGATTTTGCATTTATGTATTACCATATTGGCTAGTTCTTGAAGGGCTCGGCATTCTCCAAAAGCCTTGATCAGAGTCATAACGTTCTTCTTAGGATCAGGACGGGACAATGCAAGTATCATTGGCTTGTGTGGGTTTGTGAAGAATTTCAAAATCTGCATTAATCTTAAGTTGGAGCACAGTATACTTTGCATCTTTCTATTGCTTCTCTTATTAATACGGAATATATTTTTTTCAGTTTTTTCTCATCTACCTGAACGGATTGAACAACATAATGACAAACCTCTGCCCATATGTGAGGGATAGGCTTCTTTTGGATTTTGCCTGTTCCACTAAAACCCTTGAGGTCTGCTTCACTGTCTACGAGATCTTGTGCTTTAACACTGCTGAAATCCATCCCGGGGTGTATAACCTGGTTTGCATCATATAACGAGTCTAGTTTATTTTCAAAGTTTAACATTCATGTATAATCCATAAAAAATAAATCTAGACTTTTACTAGTGAAAATGGTTATTATGCTTTTACCACCATCCTAGGCATGTATCGCCCAAGGCAACTAACTCCCCTCTGTCTCCTAATCCTAAGCTTCCTCTCCAATTGTACGTCAAAACCATCATACAAACCCCATTGCTCTTCAATCTCCTGCCTTGTGCTGGTGACCACCATTTCTGCAGAATCCAGTGCCAACTCCTCAGCTTCAATCCTTCTTATAATTTTATATGTGGCATTTATATCCTCTGTGAGCATCCCCTGTTTAAGCAATTGCTCAAACTTGTTTCTGCCCAGTGAGTGACCTGTAAATACCATAGGTACATTTAAGGTTCCTGATATGCGTGCTGCTACCTCTCCTGCATCAGCGTAATGTCCATGGATAACATAAGGCCACACAGGTTTCCCTTCATTTCCTTGTTCTGCTGCTAAAGCTCTTGACATATTGACTATGTGACCCAAAGCCCCATCTGTGAACTCTGGTATATATGGCCAGAGCGATTCTTTTGGTATGTATCTGCATAAGAAAATGTTGAAAAGACGGTTACATAAATGTTTTTATCGGCAGCTTCCATGCGTGTAAATTGGGGTGGGATGTAGCTAGCTCCAGCCCACCCCAAATCAGTTCAATTGTGCATATGCATGCATACTTTAGAGAACTTACAATGCAAAGTTTTGGGTGTAACACTAGTTGAAACGAGAACCTTCTCACCCAAATATGGTCCCCTTTTGATTATACTCGATGCACCCTCAAAAGATATAAATGGATCTCTAACATGAGAATTTGAATTTTTATAAATTTAACTATCAAGATTTATATGAAAGAGTTGTATATATGTTTTTTTACTACTGTATTTGATCTGGGTATAACTGTGCTAGTTTGAAAATGTTATACTCCGTACAAATTTAGTCAAGCTTGATGAGGAATCAATCACATTTATGATGTTTTGATGTATTACTTATCGCGTGGCCCACAGGGGATTCGGATTATATAGGCACCACAATTTCCAAAACCATCATGAGATGGGAAGGACAACATCTCTGTTGGCTCACCATAGCTAGAGTCAACCTCTGGACAAGTTATTTGCCGAGTCAGAAGATCAACGCGATTCACCCCATTCATGTTAGAGAGTGCCTTGGCAAGTTCTACGACGTATTTCACCTGAGAGCATAAATGAACTCTATGGTTAGTGAAATCACAGCCAACCTTTCTGATGACCGTATTTCTGGTCATCTTTTCCAAGTCGCATATTTGAATCATTTTAACATTTCTCTACCTGACCACCAGTATCAGAATCTCGTCCAAGTTCCATGTTTTCTCCACGAATCAACCTATGAATACTGCACAAATAAAGTGTAAACATCCCATGTAACTAGCACTTCCATGGAATACCTGCCTCTTATGCTAATTTTATACCCCATCCGGCCACCCCTCTCCCCTTTATGTTTCCCACTTCAATGTTTTTCCTTGAAGATGGCCTTATAGCTAGCAGAAACTTTAGTTACCTGATCAGAACAATGTACAGCTGTCTCGGTTTATCTTCATCACACCATATATGTGCATCTGAGTTAATTCTTGGCATATGAGAGAGAGAATCTGTTTTACTGATGACTTCCCCTTTCCCCTTCTCGCTTTCTGAGAGATCAGAAAGATCTTCTGACAAATCTATATGAACCTTTTTATCCAGCTCACACGTCCTTTTCACTAACAACCTTTGTGCATCCTCCCAATCTCTCTGCATCCATCAGTCATTGAATCATTTCCTCGGACCAACTGAACATTACATTTCCATCATTGGGTATGTCCTGGTTAGATAAGTGTGTGCGCTTCTTTCAAATTTTTAGTGAAAATAGTTACAAGTTGCTTAGTCCATACTCCGTACATCATCTTCCACCATAAACCAGCCCTAACAACTATGTTGAAGTCGGTGAGGTGTGTAGCTTAAATTTCTGACTACGCAGGGGTGTTCATTACTAGCCTAGTGTCACATATTAATTTTGTAAACATTACAATATAATAATGAACAAGTGAAAACATATTAAACTTTTAAAAATGTCAAGACATTCAGCAGATTCAACTATGTGTAGCTAAAGAACCCTTGCCACAAAAGATAGAGTGTGTAATTTACAAGTTAATATAACAGAGAGACCAGACCTGCTTCTTCTTGCGGGCGAGATGCCAAATCCGCCAGCACATATTCTCTAGCCTGTTATTTCGCTCACGAGAATTCCTTGTTGCTACAACCTGTAAGCCCATCATATACTCAGATGTATATATATTCGCGTAAACCACATGCATCAGTTCACTGAATATTTATCAGCTTCAGAGATCTCTTGCATGGTGGTTAGATGTCTTAATGAAGTACTTACTCGATGTTTGTTTGTTAGAAAGCAGTAGTTCTACGCACCTTAATCCATGTCCTATAGAGGTCGGTTTCATCGCATCTATTAACAACCTCTTCAACAAAGTACTGGGTCGGGCTAAATGTCTTCCCTAGTTCTTTCCCATTCTCATGAACTTGGAGAAGCTTTTCAGACGTGAAAAACATGTCTTCATCAAACTTGCTGAATGTTGTCTGCTTGAGGCTTTCCATCATCCGGTTCCTCCCCTCTCTGCCACTTTTGTTCCTCCCCACGTTCAGAATCGCCTCCAAGTACCCATTTAGCCACTCGTTTTCTGCCATTTCCCTTTTCTGTGTATTGGCAAGAAAAAAGAAGGGAAGTAGTAATACTCCGTAAGTGAGAATGTTCAATTTTACACGTACAAGTTGGAATGGAGAAGCTTGGCGCCTTTTACAAGAGTGGAAAGTAATAATAACGGAATGTTCCGCAATATATTCCGTACTGTTTTAACGGTTGTTTTATGTTCTCTTTTCTGTGGGCGGGCAGCATCATTCCATATGTTGGCCGATGAATCCATATCCCCCCAACATATTCGATCCATCTAGTGTAGCCGGCCAAAATTGCAGTTTTTTATGCTTAAATTATCTGCTGATCAGCCAAAAGTCATTGCTGGCTATTGATTTCACTATCTAAATATTATATTCATGTTTGGTGGTGGGTTTAGCTTATTACTCTCCACGAGGCTTTTCCTAGATGCCAATAATCCGGTGAAAAAAGTAGGCCTAGGACAGGTTGGGTTATTATACAAAACTGGTGGAAGCGTTTAAAAATATGTGACTTTTAAAACTGGTTCGCTTCTAATAAAAAAATTTGCACAACCGTTAAGAAGCCGAATCTGATCCAAACGGTTCAGTTCTTTATTTTATCATACGTTAATGTTAAAATATTTATTTAAAGCTGAAAACTTAACAAAATAATCAGTTTGTTCAATGCACAATTAGAATATGTAATAGGATTCTAATGATGAGTGACAGCACTCTCACCTGGGATAATCTTACAATCAGTGTACCTAGTTCTCCAAGTCGTCAGTATGAAAAAGTAGTCAATTTGGGTACTATTAGCTCCACTTTTATAGGTCATAAGGTGAGCGTATCTTTTCTTGAACCAAGTGTTCATCACGGCCAACTCATATGTCGAGGCAAAATCCAGAATGTTCTTCCCCACTTCATTTCTAGTGTCAAAATCATGTCCGCCATGGATACTCTCAAAACCATCACGACTTGGGGCCACATGCTCGTTGAGGTCGCCTCCTATGACCAGCTTTTCTCCCCTTGTCACGCCACTTCCTCAAGATCCTCCCAAAATTGTTGAGTAATAGATGCATTCAATCTCACTTGTGGTGCATAGGCACTTACCACAGACACGACCTCATTTCCTATTATCAACTTAATGCTCATGATGCGGTCGTTCTTCCTAAAGACTTCCACTACACCCTCAACATAATCATGTAACACCATAATGCATACTTCATTTCTGTTCTTTTCTCTCCCCGAGTACCACAACTTAAAACCCCCAAGATTAACCTCACATGACTTTTCTTAAACCCACTTAGTTTCCATAACCTCAGCTATCTCAGATGATCTTCCCGTAACCTCAGCTTATTACTTTTCATAACCTCAGCTATCTCAGATGATCTTCCCGTAAGAGAGCCAACATTCCATGTCCCAAAACGCAATCTAGCACCCTGCCTTTTCTTCTTCACACCACATCGACTCCCATCATGCCCTTGCATGCATATTTAACACCATCCCCGGGCATTGGAGTGGCGCGTCGCTTCTGATCGACGACCCAACGAGGCATGGACCGGTTCCGGTCGGACCGTCCCGCAAACCGGCCCAACCCACCACTGTGCGGGCCTGGACCGGCCCGATGAACCGGCCTAGGAACCGGACCTAGGACCGGCCCGATGTGTTAGAGCGGTCCGGTTCCGGGCCTACCCTTCCTTTGGAACCGGTCGGGCTGGGCCCGATTCTGGCCTATTTATTTATTTTTTTCAATTTTTTTTGTTTTGCCCGGGTTGGGCTAGGTGTTTTGGGGGGTTTGGGGGGGGGGGGGGGGGTCGGGGGTTAATTAGAAAAGCAAAAAAAAAAAAAATATGAACCGGCCCGAGACCGGCCCGAGACCGGCCCGGACCCGGTTGCAAACCAAGCCGGTTCCGGGCCCGCCCCCAAAAGATAAAAGCCCGGTTTGGCCCGGCCCGGAGCCCGGCCCATGCCTAGACCTAGCAGCCTTAGCATTCTTATCACCACACCCAAGCCTATAAAATGTAGCGCGCCCTTGCATATTTGACATCACCCCCAAGCGGAGGGATGACGCGTCGCTTACGAGCAACGACCTAGCTATAACGATATTCATATTTCGATTCATATCGTGTGATGTGACTAAGTGATATTGTTAGCCGTCACGCGCCTACCACATCACCCTCCTCCTTTATCCTTGCTTGGGACAAACATGATACCAAAAAAATGATCTCTGGAGTTGATTAAGAGATTAGTGAGATGGCAAAATTGAAACCACATCATTCACTCACACTACATTATAAACATGCAACCAACTTTCCAATTCTCACTTCAGTTAAGCCACGGAACACCCGTCACCACACCCACCCCCAAGACCCACTGGCCAACTCCATTTTAAAAACAAATACTCCCTCCGTTCCAAAAACTACTTCCCACTTTCCTTTTTGTGCCGTTCCCAAAAATTCTTCCCACTTTCCCTTTTTGGACAATTTGTGTGGCTCACATTCATTTTACCTTTTTCTCACACAACCACAACCACACATTTCCACTTTATTCCACTTTCTTAATAGGCGTGCCAAGTCAAACCGGGAAGAATTTTTAGGAACGGAGGGAGTAAACGATTACTAATTGGGATTTGGGGTTAGATATAATGGGGATAAAGATATTGCCGACTTAAATTCCACCACCATTTACCACATAAATTATTATTAAATACTACGTACTAATTACCATATCAACATTTTTAGTTAAATTGAAATTGTACTTAATAACACTATTTTCCCGAGTTTATGTACTCGTGAATCTCAGTTGCAATATAATACTCTTTACTCCATTGCATACGACTTAATGTACTCATTTGACACTTTTCTCAATGATCAACAAACATGGAATAAAAGCATATACTTGGATACACAGAACACAACGAGCTAGTCGTGAAACAAGCGAGATGATTTCCAGCTCAAGGCCATAAGTTTGGCATATGCACTGAAAGGAGTACAAATCTCCCGTCCCTCTTGCAAATCATTGCGATGATTAGACCCTAGAAGCGTTAACTGATTATACGTGTGTGTGTGAAGATTAGACCCTAAGAAGTATTATTAGCAGATCTCATTATACCACGCAGGCATGCCTGATATCATCTCACTTTCTGATGGATCATTGACAATTTATCACCTGAAAACCAAGAAAAGTTTGTCAAAACAATAGCCACAAACAGACATGAAAGTTCCTGATAAAAATGATGAAGACGATGACAACAGTAACAGTACTATTAGTCTATTAATAAGGTAAAACTGAGGCGAATAATAACAGCTCATTTGGTGACTCTGTTTTTCGGCTTATCAGCCAAAAGCAAGGTTGGAGTTACTTTTCTGACTGTATTGGCTGAAGTTACTATATATGACCATTTTAGTTATTTTCATATAACTTTTCTTAATTTCATTAATAAAATAAATTTTAAATATAACTTTTTTATAAATCAGCAGAATCGGCCAATACAGCCACTACTTCAACCAGAACTTCATAATTTTTTTGTTCATGTACTTCACATATTCCATTTATATGTTCTACTATTAATCAATGCCGTCAACTCATCCCCCTTTTTATTTTTGTACTTTCTTTTCAATTTATGTCGTTCAATTTTTTGTTTTCTTTATAATAGAGCTTTTAATATATACAGTTTTAAAAATACTGATCAAATATTAAAATGTGTGAGAATTAATTTTTACTTCAGTCAAACTTGTATAGCCATTATATTTTGGGACAAGCACAGTGCTAATTTGTTATAAAAATTATTCCAAGTATATATAAAATCTTTTTAAATCCCTTGTACATTGATAAAAGTTTGAAACTGGGATACTGGTAATCCCAATTGTGGAGAGCTTTACAAAAATAATATCAAGTTAATGACAGTTTCACAAAAAACACATCTACATAACGAAATGTTAACAGTGTTGAGCCGCTGACCATTTTTTGAAGCTCTAAACGGGCTGGAATTATTATGGTAAACTTCTCTGATATGGTTGACTTTTGTAAAATGCATAAAAGTAGGGAATGTTGATGTCAGTTTTTCCTAATCGTAATAATAATAGTAGTAATGAAATGGTAAAGAATTTGTGGTTCACAACCATTCTTACACATTCTTACACATTTCTCTCTCCTCTGCACAACTCTCCACCACACAAATCCCACTATCTTAATTTGTGTGAAATGGCAAAGGAGGAGATAATATAGGGACGGAGGGAGTATATTACAGTATTTTTTAAAGACATTGGGTGAGAAAGTTCAAGGAAGAACACTGACCTCAACATTTATTTCCTCGTTTTATCATAAACCTCAATAAACCTCTTTGGGATGCCATAATGTTCTACCAAATGTCTTGCAACATCATCAATGACACCACCTTGAATCAAAACCTCCAGTCCCTTTTTACCTAAGATCAGTGAAGGAGAGATATTATCAAAATTTAGCAAGAGCCATTTTAACCAACTAATCTTACAAAAAATCCTTTTTACGCATCATGGAATATGCTGCTCTGAAGGCAGAACTTAGATAGTAACCTAGGCATATGATTCAGCATAAGTGTAAAAATTGGGAAAAGGCGCAAATGGATCGCTGACATTCGTGCTTAATTGCAATTTTCCCTAATGATTATTTACACGCAAATATACCCTAAAATTAGTCAGTATGTGCACTTGACCCTTGATGCTTGTCCCAGGTAGAGATTGGTCCTGAAAGTTTATTTGCGTAATTGCGTGCAAATATGCCCCAAACATTTGTTTATCTGTGTGCATAACTTAAATGTTTGCCATACATATAGATTTGTTTATAAGTTTTAACTTCATGTAAAGATCATGAAAAGATGATTATATAATATTCTATGCATCAAAAAAATTGCGAAATCTATAGTATTTCAATTCTTCAAATACACGAAACTGTATTTTTATTTAATTATTTATTTTTTATTTTAATAGAAGCATTGATCCAACATTGATTTTAAATTGAAGAAATAATTCGATGCATCAGAATAGTTCCTCCCTCCTTTTAAGGAG